CATTCTTGGAAGCGCTTGGGGAACCATATGGGATGCCAGGATCAAAGCTGGGTCAGCCACATGCAAGGCAAGCTCCCTACCTGCTGTCCTGCTGTTCAATCTCTCCAGTCCCAAACTTTTTTTTTTTTTGGGTCAGGAACATTCTTCAAACAAAACAAAATATGTGCACTGAAGCTGGGAGCAGCCAGCAATCCCCCACCCTCACCGGGACAATTCCCTGGAGATCTCTGCCTCCCTTATCACTCCTGGAATCCTTTGGCCCAGCTGCCTTCTCACCTTGCGAATGGAATGAACAGGCCCATCGGAGGTTTCCTGGGTCTTCCAGAGCTTAGGTGGAGCCAGGTCCCAACCATGTGACTACCATTGTCATCACTGTGTGCTCAAAGGCTAACGCTGGAGCCTCCGGTCTTTCCTGGGTGCTTTGATCTCTGCAGGATGCTCTGATTGGGGATAGCATACGCCAACCACCACCCCCTCAGTGAGAAAGGAGAGGTGGGCTGTCTTGGGTTAAAGTATGCATGTGGAGGGTGGAGGGGGTGGCAGGGATGGAGGTGGGGAGCGCGGACAGAGGTGGACAAGTCAGTGCCCAAGCTGCAAGGACAACACCAACCGCATGGTAGACGTGATCCAAAAAAGGGCAAAGAAAGTCTGGACTGATAGTACAAGGGTAAGGGGATTTGCCTTGCACGCAGCCGACCCAAGTTTGATCCCCAGCACCATATTCCATCTTCCGACCCTACCAGGAGGGATCGGAAGTGCTCGAGCACTTCCAGGTGTGGCCCCTAAAATGGAAAAAAAAAATTTTTAAAGGGAAAAGAAAAGAAAGCAGAGACCCTACCACAGGAAACCCCTCCTACTTCATTCCCTTATCGATTTAGAAAAAGTGTGTGTTGGGGAAGGGAAATGGGGGGGGGGGTGTTGCTATATAGAGTTCAGAAAGGAGACCTACCTAGTTCCTGCTTCATTCATTCCCCTTCATTCCTACTTCATTCATTCCCCCTCCCTAGTTCCTGCTTCATTCATTCCCCTTCATTCCTGCTTCATTCATTCCCCTTCATTCCTACTTCATTCCTACTTCATTCATTCCCCCTCCCTAGTTCCTGCTTCATTCATTCCCCTTCATTCCCCTTCATTCCTACTTCATTCATTCCCCCTCCCTAGTTCCTGCTTCATTCGTTTCCCCCCCCTCCCCTGCCTAGAGGCATTCTCCAGGGCTGGGTAAATAGCACTTCAGAGGCCTTGCAGCGCCCAGGAGGGAAGGCGCGGCTGAGCGAGCCCTGGGCCCCAGGCGCTCTAGACAGCTGTAAACAATGTCTGCATGTTGCAATCCGTAGCAGTGGCCAGTGACCAGGTCCAAATGCCTGGCTGGAGCTCTAGGAGAGGAGGCAAAGGGCAGGAAGGAGGGCGAGTGGAGGGAATGGAGCTGGGGTGGAGGGAACAGGCTGGAATCAGGGAGCTGGAGGAGGGGGGTGCATGGGTGGACCTGGGAGAGGCTGTGGGCTGCTGCCGGCGCAGACCAGGCTGACGGGAAGCTGGAGAGGTCAGATGTCCAAGCCCTGGGCAGACAGGGTTAGGCATCAGCTCCGAAGCTACGGGCGAGCCAGAACGCACAAAGCCTGGGGGCCGGCCTCCACGTGCCTCTAAGACGGGGAACCCCTATCCCAAAACCAGTTCCCCTTGGGAAAACGCAGGCGTTAGTGGGATAGCTGAAAGTCCCGAAAGTTCCTGTCCTCCAAACATCTGGTTGGTTCTCTTGGCAATCAGCCTCAAGGGAATTAGCTCAGTGCCAGGAAGTGGGAAGACCCAATCCATATTCCTTAGCCTGAATCACCTTCTGACCTGGACAAGGGGGGAGAGATGAGTAGGGTTGTTCTTCCTCCAGGGGCTGCCCTGATGGGCTGAATCTCAGCTCCTCATCAAAGGGGCAAAGTGATGGTCTTCACTTTGAAGAGCCTATGGAAGGTCATCCCTGGCCAAGGAGGCAGCAGGCACACAGGCCCCAAGTGAGACAGCATCTGCTGATCGGGGACAGTGATCTGGCACCACTGATGAGGACCTGTAACCCAATCCTGGAATTCAGAGTGGGGGTCCTAATGATCAGATAAGAGTGACCAGAGGGGTCAAGCAGGGTAACCTCCATTCTGCATGTCACCCCTCTGTCCTCAAGACTGGTGGGCCTGTAAGCAGGGACAGGGGTGGACGTGTGTGAACGGATGCCCCACTGTCTTCAGAGAAGGCAGAGAAGAAAGTACAGAAATTGGCTGGGTTCTGTGGCTGCCATCCTCCAGAGGCCATTGGACAGTCAGGTTTGGGCCCTCAGTGTTGAGACACGCGGGACCTTACGGGATTGGGGTGGAACTGGCCCTTTCCTTCCCATCCCAACGAGACTCTGAGTCACCACCAACTAATGGCCTTTCTGACTCCTGATCAAGCTGCTTAACGGCCATGATCCCAGAGACTCAGGAACAAATCTCGAAACTCAGCAGGTTATGGTAGAAATCCCTCCAGATTTAATTGTTAAAATTTTGGAATTTCAAAATCTCGCGGCCACTCACTGTAGCCACGCGACATCATATGCTATTCTATAACCAGCAATATAAAACAAATTCTCTACGGTTGCCTTTTCAGCAGATCTGAGTGTTGGGGTAAAATCCCAAATAATATGGTGGGTCTGGTGTCAAAATATTGAATGTAATCAAAGTAGAGAGAGAGTAATGTGGAAATCATCTGCCCCACAGGTAGGGGGAGGGTGTGGAATGGGGGTATACTGGGGTTTTGGGGGGTAGAGAATGGGCACTGGTGAAGGTACAGGTGTTTCATTGTATGATCGAGACTTAAACCTAAAAGCTCTGTAACTGCTCTCACAGTGATTCAATAAATAAAATTATAAAAAATGAAAATAAAAAAGTAAGGTGGAGTTCATGCCCAATTCAATCAGCTAATCATCAGTGGCTGAATAAATAGCAGTACTCCTACATTAAAAGATATATAATTAGAGGTAAAAAAAAAAAAGAGGAGACTGGGTTTTGTGCATCTCCCTAGCCTTAACCCTTGGGGGTTCCACTTCATCTTCCTACTTCCTACTTCTGTCTCTGACATGACCCTGTGGCCCAGGGAACCCCTGGTCCTCTGAACAGGAGTGTTCCTGGCAAGTTGATGCCCATCTCCCTGTGTTTGGACCACATGCCAGGCATGGTACAGCCACACTCCTCTGCCCCAAAACCGCACTGAGGCAGAACTCGGAAACTCGCCCCTAAAATGCAGGGAACCGGTTCCTAGATTTGACGTCTGGGACTTAGCACACAGCTCCTGACCCCAGCCTGTGTCCTGGTCTTGTTATGACCATAAAATGACGAGGCCTGGACAGTCACTTCCTCATTTTTCCTATACTATTTCTGCTTCTCCCAGCTATCTTGCTGACAAGTTGCTGTAAATTCCATGATTCAAGAACTTTCTGTTCTTACTGATGAAACTGTAGAGATACCCTAGCCCAAAACATGTCTGCTTATACATCAAATCTCAGAGGCACAGTCGAGAAGTTTCCAACCTGACGTTAATGATTTTGATTCTAGGTGTTTCCCTGCTGCTTGGTAAAATGTTCCAGGCTCTAGTGACCCAGAAAATGCTGCCCACAGAGCATCCTCGGACTCTGTAAAGACACCACCCCACCCTTTTCCCCCCTCAGAGCTCAAGGCTGTGGAGGGTAGAGAATTGAGCTCCTGAAACCCTTAACTACAGAGGGGAAGGCGTGGGGCCTGGAGGAGGCCTAGGAGCAGGGCCAAGAAGGGCCCAAGGGACTGATTCTTGCCACCTCCTCTTTTCTTGGCTCTAAGGATCCCAGAGCCTATGCTTCACACCCATGTTAGTTTTGCCTTGATTGAAATAGAAACAACAGGGTCAGGAGCAATAGTACAGCTAGTAGGGTACTTGCCTTGGGCTGGATCCCTGGCATCCCATATGGTGCCCCAGAGCCCTTCCAGGAGTATCCCCTAACCCAGAGTCAGGAACAAGCCCTGAGCACTGCCAGTATATGGCCCCAAAACAAAAACAAAAGAGAGAGAGAGAGAGAGAGAGAGAGAGAGAGAGAGAGAGAGAGAGAGAGAGAGAAAATAAAAGGAAAAAAGAAAGGAAGAAGGGAAGGAAGAAAGGAGAAAGAAAAATAAAAGCAAGGGTCTATGGGCCTTGCCCAGACTTGTTTGGGGCCTAGTAATCTGCTTAAACAAGACCCTCCCTCTCCTAAGCCCTCCCCCTCCCCTGCCGCCAGATAATTCTGTTTGAAAAATGATGGAAGGAACTCAGGCCTGTATAGGGGCCACCAGTTAAATCCTGTTCTGGCTCTTTTGGGTGCTAATACTAGGGGCAAGGTTCCCAAGCACTGGGTCTGAAGAACCACTGTAAGGATGTTGATTCAGCCAGGTCCATCTGGCTGTCCTGGGATCAGACAGAGGCTCCCTGGGAGAAGCAAAGACCAGGATCACTTTCCTCCATTCTCATGGCCTATGAAGAGGGAAAAGAAATTGATTGCAAGGTCTTTAGGAAAGGTTGCAAGGGGAGTTGGCTGCCGCTTGTTCCGAGAAGCCAAGTTACTTAATTTCTTCCTTCTAGTGGGAGAGGGAGAGGGGGCAGTTCAGTTCGCCAAAATCAGAGGGGCCTTGCTCTATCCCTACAACTGAGCAGGGTGGAGCGACAGTACAAACGGGAAGGACCCTGGTTTGATCCGGGGCATCCCATATGGTCCCCTGAGCATCGCAGTTCCCGAGTGCCTGAGTGCAGAGTCAGGACTAACTTCTGAGCATCACGGGCGTGACCCAAAAGGCCAAAAGAATGAAAATAAAAAGACCAAAACCAAACCACAGCAAAAAACAAAACAAAACAAAACAAAACCGAGCAGGGTGGGGAGCGTGCATTTTCCCACCCTTCCAACACACCCGCCCCTTTCCCTTGGCTACTGTTGCAGGCGGGAGGGGGTGGGGCGGGAGGGGGCGGGGATACCAACTTGCTTGTGGGAACTGAAGTCATATTCGCAGCCTCTTTCCAAAAGCCCAGAAAAAAAAAAACTGCTCCGGCTTGTCCTAGATGCTCCTTTGATGGGTCCTGAAGCATGTCTGGAGCAGAGCAGGTATGTGCACCCTTTTTTTGGGGGGGGTGGGGGGAGAAAAATAACTCAAGAATTGCCCGCAAAGTTTCTACTCTGTTCCCCTTCACCTAAGGGCCTCCTTAGTCCTGACCTCTCCCACACATATTCCCATTTATTAACGCCGGCGGCGAATCAGGCAGGGGCAGCTCAAGGTCGCACAGCGGGTGCTGGAGACCGCAGGGTCCGGGCGCCCCTTTTTTTAAATTTTGTAACGGCGTCTTCCTACTGCCCCCGCCCCCCAGACGCGAGCCTGGGCTTGCAGACCCGAGTGCAATCCGCCGCGCCTTCGAGGAATCTGCAGCCCAGCCTTCGGCTGCCCCCGCGGCTCCTGGGCGGGGGTGGGGGGGGGGGCGGAATGGACCCCCAAGCCCTCAAGGGCGCTCCGGCGTCCTCACACCCCCCTCGGGACCCCCAGCACGACCCCCGGGGCGCCCCCGCGGACTCGGCGTTTCCGTGAAGCCGGCGGGGTGGACGGCGGCGGCTCCGGGTCCCTGGCCGCGAGCTGCCCACTCCCGCGCCGGCCCCGCCCCCCGCCGTCCCGTGCCGGCCGCGGAATCTGCAGCCCAGCCGGACGCAGCGCCACGGCCGCCGGGCGCAGGTAGGGCCGGAGGGGCCGGGGGCGCGGGGGGCGCGGGCCGGGGGTCGCCGCGGCCGGCTCTCGGGGTCCCGGGCAGGGGGTGTGGGGGTGCGCGCGCGCGCGTGCGTGGGTGTTTGTCGGGGTCCCGAGGTGTGTGTGCGTGGAGGGGTGTGTGTGTGTGTGTCCGGGCCCCGAGGAGGGGTATGTGTGCGTGTGTGTAGGGGTGTGTGTGTGTGTGTGTGTACGCGCGCGTGTCGGGGTACCGAGGTGTGTGTGTGTGTGTGTGTGCGTGCGCGTGTGCGTGTAGGAGTGTGTGTGTGCGCGCGCGAGTGTGTGTGTGTGTCCGGGCCCCGAGGAGGGGTGTGTTTGAGTGTGTCCCCAGTCTAGTAGCCAGTCAGTCCTCCTCTTGGGGTCCCGAGGAGGTGTGTATGTAGGAGTGTGTGTGCGCGTGTAGGGGCGAGTGCATGTGTGTGCGCATACGCGTGCGTGTCAGGATCTCGAGGTGTGGGTGTATGTGTGTAAGGGTGCTTGTGCACGTGTGTAGGGGTGTGTGTCCTCTTGAGGTCCCGAGGAGGGGTGTGTGTGTGTGTGTGTGTGTGTGTGTGTGTGTCCCAGTCTAGTAGCCAGTTGTCTTCAGGTCCCCAGGAGGTGTGTGTGAGTGTGTGTGTGAGTGTGTGTGGGTATGTGTGTCCCAGTCTAGTAGCCAGTTCTCTTGAGGTCCCCAGGAGGTATGTGTGAGAGAGTGTGTGTGTGTGTGCTCTCGTGTGCACTGGTCTGCTGATGCCCCGACCCCACACCCCCTCCGCATGCGGTGGAGGCTGCCAGAAACTTTTCTGCCCCCCTTTGGGGTCACTAGTGTGCTCATGACAGGGGTCTCTCCTTTTCATTTTATTTTTATTTTACATGATAAGACCACCACCTTAAAAAGATAAAACTCCCTCTGCTCCGGCTTTTTTCCTTCTTTCTAAAATAACTAGGAGGAGGTGCAGGGCCTGGGGATCCCCTTCCAGATGCGGTTGCTTTATGTACCGAAGTTAGCGTTCTGGGGTGGGGAACTCACCACTTTCCTGCCTTGGGTTGGAGGAACCGTTTCTCCTCCCTAAACTGCCTTGTAGCAGCGGGTGGAACTAGGGCCGGCCTCCCTGGGGTGCGGGTGCAAAGAACGGGCTCAGAGGAGGGCAGGGGAGAGGCAGATTCAGGTTCTCCTTGGAGTGGTGCAGCGGTGCAGCGCGGTTTTATGGGCCGAGAACCTATTTTTCCCTACTCCGAAGCGCAGCGAGTGCTGGCCTAAGGGAAAGCGGTCCTGGGCCACATGCTCTCTCCTGAGCTTGGGCATTCCTACAGCTGCGTCAGGTCAGCAGGGAGCCCGGAGGACTTTCCTGCAAGTGAGCACATCAGTACCCGGCCCGGTTAGGGACCACAGTGCCCATTTCACAGATAAAATCTCTGAGGCTGCGGGTAAGCCTGTTTGGACGGTCACCAAGGAGAATGGAGATTGAATGGTGAAGACTTAAAAACCCAGGATTTCTTGGCCTTAAATCACACCCTAACAGGAGAAATCAATCACACCCCAACACCCTCTCCCACCAACAACCCTCTTCTAATCTGGAGTAGCTAATGTGCTGGGGAGTGGGGTGTGGCCCCCTGAGGTAATAGTGAATTTCTCTTCCTCCTCTTTCCCCCTCCTCCTTCCTCCTCCTTCCTCCTCCCCCCTCCTCCCCTCTTCCTCCCCTCCACCCCATCATTCTCCTCCTCCTCCTCCTTCCCTTCCACTCCTCCTCTTCCTCCTCCTCCTCCTCCTCCTTCCCTTCCACTCCTCCTCTTCCTCCTCCTCCTCCTCCTCCTCCTTCCCTTCCACTCCTCCTCTTCCTCCTCCTCCTCCTCCTCCTCCTCCTCCTCCTCCTCCTCCTCCTCCTCTACCTCCTCTCTTCTCTGCATTGAGGCATAACCTTGAGTCCTGACTAGGCAGCTTCAAGGAGCTAAAGGTTCACTGCGCAAGGGACACCCAGTCAACAAGGATTTAGAAAGCCGTCAGCAAGATTAACTAGGTTTGGGGGTGGTGTTGGAATGGAGGTGTGGGGGGCTCAGATCTTATGTGGGAAGCAGGTGGGGGAGCAGAGGGCAGAACCTCAGAGGCTGTGCCCTCCCGCAGGGGTCCTGCCACCTGGGGGTATTGAAACACCTGGGGGGCTCTAAAGAACTTGGGGCCTGGGCGTGGCTTGCACTGCGGCGAGAGGCTAGCCTATGGCTATGAGTGAGGAAGGGCCACAGAGCTTCAGGGTGTGGAAGTGGGAAGGAAGCTTTGGGAAAATTTCCAGCTAATGACAATGAGAGCAGAGACTGGTGCCAAGGGGACAGTGAGTGGACAGTGCCAGGGCGACAGGGAATGGGCAGGGAGCAGCCTAAGGAGTCTTGGGGCTGGAGCAGAGCAGGGGGGGCCATGGACCTTGTCATTAGACCCTGTAACCCCGAGTGTCACGCGACAACAGATCTGCAGGCTACTAGAAAGCATTCTGGTACCCTGATGAAGAAGGAAACTGTTATTGCAGAAGAGCAACCCTGCGGAGCTGTCACAGTGACTTGCTGGGACGCCGCAGCCAGGGGCCAGTCATTGAGGGCCATGCTGACCTGCTGACCTCTCTTCTTCCTGGAGTCCCCACTGATCATCCCGCTGCTGTTGAGGACTTCAAGCCCCCTAGCAGACAGAGTTAAGGGGGTGCTGTCAGCTTGAGGACTCCAGCATGCTTTGATTCAGCGCCCTCCCCCCACCCCGCCCCACCCCTACACAGGTACCCAGGGGCCAGGGGGCCATTCCTAAGCACTGCTATGGACGCCCTGGCAGTGTCCGGGGCACCCCTTGGGTACTGAGAATCAAATCTCCTGCCTGCCAGGCTTGTGTTCCAGGACTTGGAGCTCTGTCCCTAGTTACATCATCATCATTATTATTGTTAATATATAGGATTCCCCCCCCCCTCTGAAAGCAGGACCTGATTTGGTGTGTTTTTGGTCAGTTCTTTTGGGGACTGGGGCTCTCACGACCACGGACCGATGTGGAGAAAGTTTTGAGCATCCCCAGATCAAAACGGCGCGTCAGGCCTTAGCAGACAGCAGTGCTCGGCTCCCAGACGGCAGGGGGAGGCTTGCGTGTAGAGCCCTGCCCGTGAAGCGCCTTAGTGAGTCCTGGGGGTTTTGTTGGTATCCGAGTTATTAAGATGAAGCCCTGCTTCGGGCTGGGAGAGGGCCCAGGGCTGCCATCGCTGTCTTTCTGATCCCCAAGATGTCTGCGAAGAGGAGATTAAAGTCCAGTGTGCGTGCAGGCAGGTCGGCCTAAGGCGGGGCACCTTCTCCGGCCTAGGTGATGTCTGGATTCCGTGTCCCTGTGACTGATACTCACCCCAGGACCTTATCAACCTGGGGCTGTGACCTCACTGGTGCCACCAAGGCTGCTGTTTTCCTGCAGGGCTCAGCAAAAAAAAAAAAAAAAAAAAAACCCAGGAGCCAGAGGGAGGAGACAAGTCAGTGGTTTATAGACGTGGCCTTCAGCTTTTCTCAGTTTCTTGGTGGGGGGGAGACATTCCTGGCAATACTGGGAAAGCCGGATGGGAGGGTCCAGTGCTTAGGCCTGACGATAAAGTGCTACTTGGGGGGTCTGGGTAAGAGGAGCGTGGTACCTGGGGAGTTGACGCTTTCTCCTTGGCTCTTTCTTTCTTGGCAGGAGGGTTTTCCCCTGATGCGATCCAGTACAGCATCTCGGTTGCAGATCCCACTCACGGGGATCAGATGTAGGTGAAGCAAGGCACAGGGCCTGCCTCTGGCTTGCCCTGCTCCCTAGAAGCATCTGAGAGGCGAAGCCCTGACTCATGCCTCCGGGTATGGGTGCTTTGCCCCTGGCTGCCTTTGTTAATAGAGCTGAGTCTTGAGCCTCGGGTGGCCGTCTTAGCTCTTCCCTTCCCAGCTACCGGTAGTTAGAGGAGGCACATCCGGTAGTGCTCAGGGTACCGTGTGGTACCGAGGTTAGGCCCCAGGACCTCGCTCCTAACAGACTGGTTAATTTTTTTTTGTTTTTTTTTTTTTGTTTGGGGACTACACACGATGATGCTCAGGGTTTACTCCTGGCTCTATGCTCAAGGATCATTTCTGGCAGTGCTCAGGGTGCATTGTGTTGGCGATGAACCTGGGTCAGCGGTGTGTCTATAAGCCAGACTGAGTGCCGTCACTCACACGCCCTCATGCCCTGCTCCCTTCCTGTGGGCAGTGACCGAGCATTCCTCTACCTGCATGTTTTATAATTGTCCCGGGTTAAAGGCTTGTTGTTTCGTTGACCCATCTTGGGCCTGGAGAGACAGTCTAGAGGTTGAGATGTGTGCCTGCCTTGCATGTGGCCTGCCCTGCCTCCATCCCCAGCACTGCATAGGGTCCCCAGAGCAACACCAGGAACTGATCCCTGAACACAGAGCCAAAGCAGTAAGCCCTGAGCACAGCGGTTGGGGGCCCCACCCCAAAATGAAATAGATCAGCGGTCTTGGGCCCGTCACCCTACCTTGCTTTGTCTCTGGATACGTCCTACCAGAGGCTTCCTACTCGGCTCATCAGAACTTCAAGAATAAACAGGGGGCCGGAATGATAGTACAGTGGGTAGGGCATCATCTGCCTTGCACACGGCCGACCTGGTTTCTATCTCCCATATCCCATATGGTCCCCCGAGCACTGCCAGGAGTAATTCCTGAGTGCAGAGCCAAGAGTAACCCCTGAGTATTGTCGGGCGTGACCCAAAAAGCAGAAAGAATAAATAGGGTCTTGCTCAGGCAGGATCGCTGCAGACCCTCAGGGACCGGGGTGGGGGGGCTGAGGGGGGTGTCACCGGAGCTATGGCTTCTGCTCTGATGGGCCTGCAGCAGCGGACAGGATCTTACGCCCATCCCCCCCCCCCCCCCCCCCCCTGCAGCTTTGCCTTCTGGCCTGCCCACCTTGAGAACTCAGGGCTGGACTTGCCTCAGGAAGGGTCCACTTGCATGTACCTTCCCGGGCCCCCATCTCGTCTGGTTGCCTCCTAAGCCAGGTCTCACCTGGGCTGTGTCCTCGTGTACTAGAAATTTCCGACGGGGCAGGAACCTGCAAGGACCTTCAGACTGATGATGGCTACACACTTGTCTGTGGTGCCAGGGTTTGCCTCATATTTGTAAATGCTCTGCCGCTGAGCTCCATGCCTACCTGGCGGCCTGCATGGTCACAGATTTGTCCCATGACCCAGAATGCCCAGGTCATGTTTCATCCCAGGGGCTGGGACCTTCGGGCAGGCTCCTTGTAGAGAGACGAGACAGTGATACCTGACCTCCCAGCCAGAGGCGGAGCTTGTGATGTGAAGGGTAGAAGGGATGAAGGGAATCACAGGATAGGGGACTGAGAGTGTGGGAGGGGACCTAGTGTGGGTTGAGGAGACACAAAGACCCCTCTGAGATAGCATGAGTGATAAGAGAAGAGGGGGGTGGATAAGGACCTTTTTAGGCAGAGAGGTCTTCTGAAGACTAGAAGAAAGTTCCAGGCTTTTCCTGGGAGCGGAAAGAGGGCTGCCGGGGCTGAGCAGAGTGCTCCAGGGAGTGTGTAATGGGACCGGACCGGGGAGGGTGTGTGGGCGGTGGTGAGGAATTGTAGATTTTAGGGTTTTGTTTGCTTGTTTTCAGGCCCAGACCTGACCTGAGCTGCATGCTCAAGGTCACGTGAGCCTGACCTGTTGGTTTTCTAAGTTCAGAAGAGATTACAATTTGTTCAAGAATAGAATTTGTGCTGTCAGAAAAGAAAAAAGAAAGGAAGTAGAGGCTGGAGCAATAGTCCAGCAGGTGGGGCGTTTGCCTTGCACGCGGCTGACCCGGGTTTGAGCCCCGGCATCCCATATGGTCCCTCAGCACTGCCAGGAGTAATTCCTGAGTGCAAAGCCAGGGGCAACCCCTGAGCATCGCTGGGTGTGACCCAAAAAGCAAAATAAATTAAAAATTTGAAGAAGGAAGTAAAGGGAACCAGGTACTAGAACAAGTCGGTAATGCACTGGGTCGGGCACTAAGGTTTTGATCGCCAGCATTCCATTCGGTCTCCTGAGCCCGCTAGGGGTGTCGAGCCGTGAGTAAGCCCCAAGCACCTCTGAGTGTGGCCCCAAACCAAAAATAAATCAGAGAAAAAAAGCTACTAGGGTTTTGTTTGGGTTTGTTTTGGAGCCACCCCCAGCTGTGCTCAGGGCTTACTCCTGGATCTGTGCTCCTGGCTTAAGGGACCAGATGGGGTGCCAGGGATCAAGCCTGATTAGCTGCATGCAAGGCAATCACCTCACCTGCTGTACTCTCACTCTCCTCACGTCTCGAACAGAGGACAGGGAACAGGTAGACCGGGGGAAGGGGAACAGGAGGATCTGGGCCGGGGGAGAGCATTAGCTGGATCCCAGCACTGCAGTCCTCCCTCGAGCATCACTGGGATGGCCTGAGCACCGGTCATTTGAGCCGCTTGGCTGAGTATTGTCAGGAGTGGCCTCCGCCTCCTTCCAGCACTGCTTAAGGGGATACTCCCCCACCTCCTGAAAAAAATGGTGGTGTCTAGACTGAAGGGTAGGAGGAGCTGGGGTGGAAGCCAAGAGTCACAGGGGTTCCCAGGATTCCCGTGAGACGGGCAGAAACCATGGCTGGTGGGAGGTGGGAAGGCTTGTGGCGGGCCCCTCGCCCACAGACCCTGTCCATCGTGTCTTCCAGGTACAGAGGATGCTGGTGCCCAGGAGACCCCACTGGTCCTTCTTTGAATCCCTCATCCGGACACTCATCATTGTGTGCGCCGCGCTGGCCGTCGTCCTGTCGTCCGTGTCCATCTGCGATGGCCACTGGCTCCTGGCCGAGGGGCGCCTCTTTGGGCTGTGGCAGTTCTGCATCCTCCCCGGCCAGACTGAGCCTCACTGCCTCCGAGACCTGAGCCAGGCGCACGTGCCGGGCCTGGCCCTGGGCATGGTCCTGGCCCGCAGCGTGGGCACCTTGGCCGTGGTAGCGGCCATCTTCGGCTTGGGCTTCCTCATGGTGTCGCAGGTGTGTGAGGACCTACACGTCCGGCACAAGTGGGCCCTGGGCTCCGCCCTCCTGCTGGTCTCCTTCATCCTCTCCTCGGTGGGCCTCCTCAGCTTCGTGGTCCTCCTCAGGAACCAGATCACCCTCCTGGGCTTCACCCTGATGTTCTGGTGCGAGTTCACTGCCTCCTTCCTCTTCTTCCTCAACGCCGTCAGTGGCCTTCACATCAACAGCCTCACCCAGCCCTGGGGTCAGCTAAGGAAATTTTAGCCGCTCCCGGGCGGGCGCGCTCCCTCCCCGTGCCTGGATCACTCTGAGGACTTTGGGGTTCTGCAGCAAGTGTGGCCGAGATGGAGTTTCTAAACCGTGATCTCTGGTGGGAGCCAAGTGGGGGACAGAGTCGTGTGGAAACTGCTGCCTCTTAGCCAGAAACCATGCTGGTGTGGTCAGGCTGGAAATGTGGCACCCAGGAGTCTTGGCTGATTGTCTGTGGGGGGAGAAGCCTGGAGGATGTCAGTGCCGCCAATAACAGCACCGGTTAAACCAACCTGTTCGTTTTAGAAGAAAAGCGATTTAATACTTTTCTCGGCTCCTTCTTCTCCCAGAATGGGATTAGAGGCAGCAGCTCTGGGTACTCACGCACAGACCACAGCAGGGCTCACCCCCTGGTTTATTCACAAGTGTGGGGCAGGCTGGAAGGTGCTTCTGGGGCTTCAGGGGTGAGTCATTCTTTGTCCTGGGGGTGTCTGTTCAGCACCCCGACTTCCTGCTCCTAGTTCCAAGGACCTTCCTTGGTATACATCAGCTTTGGTCATAGGGAACACCCCAAGAATTTCCCACACACGCAATAGGCTTCTAAACCATTTAACCCGCCTTGGCCTCTGCAGTAGGGGGGGACCCCGTATTTCCTGGATGACCCAATACAGTCTGCCTTGGGAGTGGGGTGTGTGCACGTGAGTGCGTGTGTACAGCTGCCTGGTTAGGGTCCAATGGTCTTGGGGTTGCACGGTTTGGTCCTAGAACACATATCAAAGAGCATGTATCTGAACTGCTGGACTCCAAGGGTGGAAAGGGGACTGGGCAGATCGTGGGTAATGATTAACCACCACCCCCGGGATGAGTGCAGGTGAAGGGGACCTGGGACCAGTGGAGATTTCCATTCTTGCTCACAGATTCCTTGTCACACATCTAACTGCTGCCTCTGCAGTCCCTTTTGTGCCCTGTAGGGGAAACTCTTGCCCTCGGTCTCTGTCATTCCACTCTATCCCCTTTCTCACGGGGGAGTGAGTTCTGGCCTTGCTAGTTCATTTTGACCTTTATCGATTGCTTAAGGCTTTGGCCTTTGTCCCGTGTTACTGCCGGCCCTGCTACTAGACTGGGACGTGTGTCAGTAGCTACTTCCTGTGGATTTTATTGTCTGGTTTTGGGTGCCACACCTGGCCGTGTTCAGGGATGGTGACCCTGTGTGGTTGACCCGGTGTGGTGCCAGGGATGGAACCTGGGTCTGCTGCTTGTAAGGCAGGCACTTGACCCGCTCTTGAGGTGAATTTTGAAGACTTGTGTGTCCTTGGAGATGGGAAAGGACTGGAGAAAGGTCGCAGCTCTGCAGATCTGCAGATCAGACCTCACTGAGCAGGTAGGTCGGGTCTTAGGGCAACTGGCCCGTTTTCACTCCAGGAATAGCGCACAGTGAGCCAAGGGGGGCTTCCCCTGGGCTCTGCAGAGGGGATGGGGGCACTTTGTCTTTCATCACATAGGATCATGGGGCCCGGGAGATAGCACTGGAGGGAGTAGGCGTATGCTACTAGTAGGCACAAAGCGCCTTGGTCCTATGCCTGACACTGCATGCTGTTTCCCAGAATCTGGGTGTCTCCCTAGGGGCCCCCAAGCACCACTGAGGTGGCCATGGTGGTTCTTGAAACCCTCAGCACTACCACATACTGAGGCCCTGCAGGAGCTCTTTCCCTCAGTCTGAAAATCACCCAGAGGAGTCCCTAGCTCACCCCTCCTGAGCACTGCTTGGAAGCTGCAAAAAAAATGGGGGGGGGGAGATTAAGTTTCACACCCTATTTCCTGTCCTACCTGCCTTTACAGCTATGGGTAGGGAGCAGAGGACAGGAGGGCCCTGTGGTATGTTAGGGTGACTGCAGGGACCCCACTGTGACCTGATGGGAGTCCTTCAGGTATTTTGAAGGTTCTAGAGAGTGAGCGGAGAGGCACCACCTTAGGCTCAGGGCCCCAAATCCACATCTTTCATGGGTTTCCCTGGGCTTCTGCACTTGCCTCTGAAAGTAGGAAGGAGTAGGAAGCGGGCAGGGGTACCTCCCTCACCTGCATCTCCAGGGTAAGCGGAGAGGTCCACAGACCCCCCCTCTGGTCCCAGCTCCCACGTACATGTGGGATGTCGAACTTTCGCAGCAGAATCCTGCAGTCCCACCTTGGGCCCCCTCCTCACCCCATTCTGTCCCAAGCTCCCCTTGAGTTCTGGGGAATCACCTCCCTGACCCCCGGGCCTGGGGGAGGGGTGCTCCTCGTTCTGGGGAAAGCAGTGGGTGTATTGAGAAGGGGGCCCGTCCGCCCCTGCTCCATCTCAGATCACGCTGGCCCGGAAGGATCCCCGGGCCGCCTCCAGGGGACTGGCCTTGGTGCTGTGGGTGAGGTCACTGGTGCCGTTGCTGAAGGAGGAGCTGAGGACCGGGGGGCGCAAGGGGAGGTCATGGACGTGCCACTGCCGCCACTTCTTCTGAACCTCCAGCTGCACCTGGCAGGACACTGGCCGTCAGCCCCGTGGGGAGAAGGCGCCCCACACCCTGTTCATACTGAAGGCTCCCAACGTTCTGCCACCCTGATCGGGACCTCCACCTCCTGAAAGCCACTCGGACCCAGCAATCCTGGCCCTGATGTCAGCGAGGGATCGAGGGCCCCCTACCCCGGCTGTCTACTCCCAAGTCCCCCTGTGTGTATCCCCAAGAAAGGACTCATCTCTCATCCTCCACACCCCAATTTCCAGGTCCTCTCTGGTGACAGCTGGACCACACAGCCTCCAGAGCCCCTGAGCTGCTCTTTGGAGTTTGGGCCCCAGCTGGGGGAGCCACTCTGGAAACTTGGGCCTCAGGAAGGGCTGCACTGTGCATGCAGGAATCCTAACACCCAGGTCCACTGCCCCTTCAGGGAGGATCCCAGGGAGTAACTGAGGCTCAGAGAAGGTGGAGAGCGAACCTCTCCCCCTTTCGTAGCAGTGGATTGTCAAGAACCCGGTTCTGCTTGGGGCACCTACACTTCCCTCTGGCCCCAAGGCTTAGAGTCCCCTGGGTGCTCTCTGACAACATTCTTGGCCATCCAACCAGGCTGACTCGGTTGAATTGGAAACTTGGGCATTGCTTGGGGAAACATGCAGTGCGGAGTGTGGGGCCTGGGTGCCCAGAATAGGCCCAGCCTTTCGGGCTCTCTGGCCCAGTGTGGAGATTCCCACGAGGCCCCCAGGTTCTTCCAGAAGTGAGCCGAGACTCCAGAAAACAGCCCAGACCCCCCACTCGTGTCAGTACACCTCCCTCGCCACTGGGCTGGAACTCACCTCCCCGTTGAGGAAGCAGTACAGGAAGGCCACCACCAGACCCTGGGGAGCAGAGGAGCAGGGGTGAGTGCCCATGAGTACCACCTCCTCCATCCCCCTGTCCTCTCATCGCCCACACCCAAGCTCCCCCATCACAAGGTTCCAGAATCTTTCCACACTTCTCCCACCCCAGCAGGGGTTTTAGGGTCCCCACAGTGCCCTAGGCCATGCTGGTTCATCCACCAGCCAGCTCTCCGGGGGCAAGGGCTGACCCCCTTCATCTGTGGTTTTCAGTGTCCACGGCAGCTTTGTGTCTTGTGCACACGGTGTCAGTGGCACTAAAGTAGGGGACCAGGCAGGACCCCTGAATTAGTGAGGGAGAAGCTGCAGGTGCCCCACCGAAGCAGGGTGGGTCTGAAGGTCACTCCCCCCTCCCCTACCTGATGATTTCCAGGCCACCAGCACCACACCTAACGGTGCTGTCAGGGAACAGGGAGACATAGCTGGGGCACGGGGATCCAACTCGGGGACTGTCACAGGCAGGGTATATGCTCCTGCCTTTACGGCTCTGGCCCCCTGGGCTCATTTTCCAAAGCAATCTGAAGATGTTTACGCATGGACAGCCCTTCAGATTCAAGGGGCAGTGATCTGGGGAGGTGCCTGGCAGCATCTGGGGGGGGGGGATGACATGCTTGGGGACAGGCGTGTACAGGATGAATGCATGCCAGGGCCCAGGGGCACAGATGCATGCCCCGTGATTCCTGGCATGGGGGTGGGTATGTGCCACACAGGACCCTCCCTCCCGCCCTAACTCCCTCCCTCCCTGTTTGCCCAATGGTCTCGGCGTTGAGCTCGGCCGGGATAGGGGTCTAATCTGAGTGAGAGTTTGTGACCTGAGAGACTGTGTAGGCCACAGGCTGGGAGGTCTCTGTTGCACATCCCCAGACCCCGCCAAGGGCCAGCCTACCACCTTCTCCCTCCCCTGTGGCTTCTCTGGCCAGTGAGGAAGCCAGCCTCAATAGGCCTGGAGTGGGGGGATCCCACCTCTACTTTCAAGAGTTCCCATCTTTAGCTACTTCCCACAGTGAGAAGACCCTCAGAGTGATGAGCTGGCCTTTTCTGAGGGATGCCACTGACCACCCAGGGGTCCTGGCAATCCCACCACCGTCTGCCACAGTTATAAGGATTCGCTTTGCAAGTCCAGGCATCAGTGGCTGCTACATAGAGTGGGGACCAGGGGTTGCATGTGAGGGGTGAAAACACAAAACAAACAAAGCTGGAGCTTCCACATTTTGTTGCTTACCGAGCATCACCTGAAAACTTCAGTCCCGGTGCACCCCCCTCCCCACCCCAAGTTCTGATACCCAAGGTGGGGTCAGCTCAAAAGATCCCCAGCTGGTGGCCTTGAGCATCCCAATTGTGAAGCTTTTGGCCGCAAAGGTAGGCTCCAGTGGGGTTGGGGACAGAGGGCTCGGCTGTTTGATGGTGGGGTTTAGGGACCCGGGGCCCCCCAGAGGCCACGCCTTACAGGGCTGGGCAGGACTGAAGCGGGCCCTCTGGTTGTGGCCATCTCTGGACCCAGAGATGCCTGTGTCTCCAGGATCCAGGACACCCTTTCACACTTCAGATGAGGGGGCAGGAGCCCTGGCTGGAAGAAAGTCACAACGTCCTCAAGTCTGAACAGGCAGGTCTCACAGCCAGCAGCACAGCTGACGGGGCACTTGCCTTGCACGCAGCCAACCTGGGTTCAATCCGCAGCAACACATATGGTCCCCTGAGCCCTGCCAGTTGTGACCCTTCAGTGAAGATCCAGGAGTAAGCCCTGCTATAGCCCCCACACAAAACCACACCCCACTAAGCTGTGAGAGGTGTGGGTATCGGAGTGTGTGTGTGTGTGTGTGTGTGTGTGTGAGAGAGAGAGAGAGAGAGAGAGAGAGAGAGAGAGAGAGAGAGAGAGAGAGACTGGCTTTACTCACTTTGAACTCCCTGTTAACTTCTTGTCTCCCTATTTCCCTTTTAATTCTATATTTTTCTTTTTAGTTTTTTGGGGAGTGGACCCCCCAAACAGTGCTCAGGGGCCCAAGGGGCCACTCACAGTGATTCAGGTCCAACTAAGCCAGTGTTAGAGTCTGAGAATGCAGAGCTATTCAGGCCTACAGTAATGGTGAAGCATCTTTTATTTTAAAAAAGTCAGTGGCCAGAGATATAGTACAGGCATTAAGGCCTATGCCTAGCATATATACAAGCCCAGTTTAATTCCTGGGTACCACATGGTCCCCGAGCATTGTCCTGGCTGAGAAAGAATCCTTTGAACACCTTTTGAAAGCAACTTCCTCCACCACCACCCCCCTGCTAAAAGGGGGGCAGTAATTGTTTTTTGTTCCCCCCCCTTCATTATTGTTGCTGTTCTTGTGACAACAATAGCAAGGGGTCTCATTCCTGGCTATGATGGCCAGAAATCTCTCTCCTATTGGGCCAGGAAAATGGAGAATAACAGAGCTGCCAGGATCTCACTTTCCGCATGTGAAGAGACTGAACTTGTGACCACATGCTTACAAGGCAGGCATTCTAAGCCACTGGTTCCTCTGGGCCAGGCTGACATCTTTAGAAAAACCCATTATGGAGGGATAGCGACACTGTAAAGTGGGTAGAACGTTGCACATGACCAACCTGGGTTTGATCCCCAGCATCCCACAGGGTCCCCCAGGTACTGCCAGGAGTAAATCCTGAGTGCAGAGCCAGAAGTCACCCTTGAGCATCACTGGCTGTGACCCATAAACCAAACAAGAGAAAAAGAAAGTGCACTGAGAGCAATCTCAGATCCCAAAGTCTATAATCACTAGGCTTTGCCTAGGAACAAGCTTGTTTTTGCTGTGGTTAGTGAAAACCCCGAAACACCCGGTGCTCCTGCCTTTGTGCTGTTTTTTTTGAGATGCTCCAAATGAAACGTATGAAGCACTTTTTCCTCCTTCATAACACTTTACTAAATTTGTCTCTGCGTATGACCCAATTTGGGCTTCCCTCCCCGCCTCACGGATACCTCATCTTACAGTTTTGTCCTCTGGTTGCTTTTCCTGAAAGCAGTATTACAGTACTTTATTGGAAGGCGAGCAAAACTATAAATAAGTAAGCAAATCATACTGTGAAGTTTGGGGTTTGCGTTGAGTCTCTTCTTAGTGCTGGAGCTCTTCCAGCACGGCGAGGGTGGCCAGAACCACTCTGCGTTGTGCTACTCAGGGAGGCCATCAGCGGCTACAACTGGAATCTGCTCTCGCAATGCTGGGGACTGATGGAGCCACAGGCCTCAGACATGCAAGACATGAGTTCTTCCACATGATCTCTGGCCCGAGTCCTCTGTCCAAACACGACTGCAGTTGCTGCATGTATATTTTAATGTTTTTGTTTTGTTTTATTGCCTTTGGGGTCACACTCAGTGATGCTCAGGGGTTACTCCTGACTCTGGACTCAGGAACTACTCCTGGTTGGAGCTCGGAGAACAGATGGGACGTCAGGGATCAAACCTAGGTCGGCCACAAGCAAGGCAAATGCCCTACCCGCTGTACTACCACTCTGGCCCCCATATATATTTTAAATGCACAGCGATCCCTTGTAAGTGGGTGGTTTCTCCCTTTGCCTGTTTTCATCATATTGGTATTTGTTGACTTATTTAGGATTCTGTGCTACCCCTGGCAGAGCTCGGGGCCATCTGTGGTTCTGGGGGTCAAACCCAGGTCAGCTGGATGGGAAGAAAGCACTTTCTTTATCCACTGTACTATCTTTCTGGCCCTTAAGTTGTTTTCGTTTTCAGTAAGTTATGTGTGCACATGGTTTCTCTTGTGACAAAAACAAAAAGAACAGCAGCCTCCTGTTACCCGACCCTGCTTCCTGTTCCTCAGGGGCAGCTACTCAATGCTCTTAACTGAATAATATGCTGATGTTGCTACTTCTGGATTTTTCCATATGGGTCACTTTCCTGGACTTCCCCGTTTGATGCAGGGCTATTCTTTTTTATATTTTTTCCCCCTTTTTGGGTCACACCCGGTGATGCACAAGTGTTATTCCTGATTCTGGACTTAGGAATAACTCCTGGCGGTGCTCAGGGAATCATATGGGATGCCGGGGATCGAACCCGGGTCGGTCGTGTGCAAGGCAAATGCCCTACCCGCTGTAGTATCACTCCAGCTCACCACTACTTTGTTGTTGTTGGTTTGGTTTGGTTTTGGGCCACAACTGGAGGTGCTCACGGCTTAGGGATGCCAGGGATGGAGCCCAGGTGGTCCACATGCAAGGCAAATGCCCCATCTGCTGCACTCTGGCTCCAGCCCTGCATTATTCTTTTGCATTATTCTTTTTCAACACCCTCTGTCCATCTTTCCACATCTCTGTCTTCCTGCCCCATTTTTCTGGGGCTCAGCCTTAGCCCTGAGCACTGGCATTATTGTGCGGAGGTCTGTGCTATTGAGAGGAACAGTCGGGAGCTGGAGAGACCTATCTCCTGCCCTGTGTCCTGGGGTCAGTCTCTGTCCTTTGTCCCCCTTGGAAGAGGGGATGATGTGTGTTCTTCCGGCACACAGACACCTACCCCTGCTTCCTTGGGTCTGCCTCCAGTGAGCCGCCCCTTCCTAAAGCCCGTCGGCAGGAAGACGGGTGGCTCTAAGGTTGGGGGTTGGGGGGTCTTCTCCCTCCTCCTACAGTCCCACAAGCTTACCTGGAATGAGCCAAGAGCCAATTCGAAGAACAGCTGGACTTCCATGGCGTTCGCCGGGGAGAAGGAGAAGACGATGTAGTGGATTCCGAAGAGGGGGATCAGCAAGAGGGTAGACTTGGCCAGGCGCCTGGGGACACAGGTGGGCTACAGTCTCCATCCCTCACCCCGCCCGTTTGCGTCTCTGCACCCCAAAGGGGACCTGACGGTACCAGCCCCTATCGCTCTGTCCCCGCCTTCTCAGTTCTACTTTTTATTTAGGAAATTTTCCAGCCCCCACACATACGTCACTCAAAAGCATGGCTCATCAACCTATGACCAGTCATGGATATCAGTAAAATATTATTTTATTATGGGCCCACCAGAATAAATGTATTTCTAGACCAGGTGTATGTATAAATGCCACTCAAGCACATTATTTGTGGGGGGAGGGGACGTAATACCTGGCAGTACTCAGAGCTGACTCCTGACTCAGTGCTCAGGGATCACTTCTGGTGGGGCTCAGGGGACCATAGCGGGTGCCGGGGATTGACATGGTTCAACCATCACTGTCACTGTCCTCCTGTTGTTCATCAATTTTGCTCAAGCGGGCCCAGTAACGTCTCCATTGTGACACTTGTTACTGTGTTTGGCATATCGAATACATCATGGGTAGCTTGCCAGGCTTTTACCGTGGGGGCAAGATACTCTCGGTAGCTTGCCGGGCTCTCCGAGAGGGGCAGAGGAATCGAACCTGGGTCAGCCAGGTCAGCTGCGTGCAAGGCGAATGCCCTACCCGCTGTGCTATCGCTCCAGCCCATATTCTAGACAAATGTCCTACCCACTATACTACCATTAATAGGTAGCTAGAAATAGCCCTCAAATACTACCAGGTGTGGCTTCCCCTGCCAGTCAATAATATTTTGGCAGGGGAAGCCACACCTGGTAGTATTTGAGGGCTATTTCTAGCTACCTATTAATGGTCACTCTCTGCAGTGCTCCAGGGCCCATGAGTGTACTGGGGATGGAACCCAGGACCTCTGCCGGCCAGGCATACACCTCTGCCCTTGGAGCTCTCTCCCCAACCTGAACATCTTGTTGTTGTTGTTGTTTTGCTTTTTGGGTCACACCCGGCGATGCTCAGGGGTTACTCCTGGCTCATGCACTCGGGAACTGCTCCTGGCGGTGCTCAGGGGACTATATGGGGTGCTGGGAATCGAACCTGTGTCGGCCATGTTGGCTGCGTGCAAGGCAAACGCCCTACCCGCTGTGCTATCACTCCAGCCCAACCTGAACATCTTGAAGGTTTATTCATTTACTTTGGGGGTCTTGGGTCATACCTAGAGCTGCTTAGGGATCACTTCTAGCTTTGTGCTCAGGGATCACTCCTGGCAGGGCTCAAGATACCATATGGGGAACGGAGTGATAGTTCCGTGGGTAAGATATTTGCCTTGCATGTGGCCAACCCAGGTTCAATCCCTGGGCATCCCAAATGGTCCCCTGAGCACTGCCATGAGTAATTCCTGAGTGCAGATCCAGGAGTGACCCCTGAGTATCGCCAGGTGTGACCCAAAACAAACAAACAAAAAAAACAAAAAATAGAAAAGAAAGAAAAAGATACCATATGGGATGCTGGGAATCAATCCAATCAACCATGCAAGGCAAGCTACCGACCCACTAGACAATCCAGCTCCCCCCACCTTAGAGTGTGGTGCATTTTTACATCCCACATCTCAAATACATGATGAACGTTCCCCTTTATTTCTCCCCTGATAATATACAATTAAATCAGTCAGGATTCTGGTCCCTGAAATCTACTGGCAGAATACCAAGCACATAGGGGTACAGAATCCTGCTGCGGTGCCTCACCTACCCCCTGAATGCTGTGGTCTTCAAACAATTGTCCACAGACTGTGCAGGTCAGCAGGGGCAGAAAGTTGAAGGACACTGGTCTGACGGACCCGCACGCCCTGCCCCATTCTGTGTCTAATGCACCACACTCCTTCCCCACTAATGCACAGTCTCGTGCCTGGGACAAGGCCATGGCTGTTCCTTGTCCCCAACCCCTGTGGTGTACACAGCAGGTGCTCAGTACATGCCTGGAGACTGGCACGAGAGCATGCTTAAGTCTCTGCCTCCACTTACTTATAATGGCTTGCTTCGCGTCCTCTTGTTTCTTGGCTCCTAAGTTTCCTCATCAGGATTCTCAGGATGTTAATAAAAAGGATGAAATTAATCTGTAAGAAACAAGGCAGACAGGAAGCTAGAGGGGACTGGTTTTCTCAGCTGCCTCTGGGCGGGGGGTGGGGGGGGGGACAGCTGCCTCCTGAATCTGATGACAGAGGGGGCACTGCGCTCCACATGGCTACTGCCCCCTCCCCCCTCACTCCTAGTAGGGCACATGTGGGGGAGGGTTGGCCTGGTGCCTCCTGACCCAGGCTGCACTGGAGTGTCCTGGGTATCTTGTTACTGTGGCTGGAGATTCTGCCTTTTGATCAAGCTCCCCCGAAATGCCAAAGCTGCTTCTTGGACTCTGTTTTGAGGAACAAGGTTTCAGGGCAGAGATTCTCCCGCTGTAGATTGCTGGTCTCCACCCAGGGAGTAAAATGAAAGTGAGTCAGAGGGATGGTGGCAGCTGAGTTATAGAGAAAGGTCCGGTCACCACCAGCCCATGATCTCTGGACCCTTGGCAGAATGGGTGGAGGCTGAGTTTCCATGTTAACCCAAACCCAGCACTCTACCCAATCACGTCCAGCTCACACCACTGCCAGAGAATCGGCCCAGCTTCAGGACTGATCTCAGCAAGGCCAGAGAGACACCCCTACAGCTAATTTGTCCCAGTTCCAAAGCCCCTGAACTGGGTGGCTGCAAAACACCTCCAACCCCCACAGAACTGATAGTCCAATCGATTAGAAGCCCACTAAGCTCAAAGAGTGAAACCAGCACAGAAGGCCCAACTCACACCTAACATCGCAGTAAGTCCTCGGACCATGATTTTAGCAACACCATGACAAGATGTACGTTGTAATATGCAATTGTAATCACTGACTTGTTGTAATAATAGACTTTAGTCAATTAACTAGCGCCTGCTAAGGGAGCAGGCTTGTGGGGGGCGGGTAGGAAACTGGGGACACTGTGAGAGGGAAGGGCACACCGGTGGAGGGACTGGCATTGGAATACTGAATACCTGAAACAACTGCATTGTGAACAGTTTTGTAAATCAAGGCATTTAAATAAAGTTAATAAAAAAATGAAAGTGAACCTGGGAAGGAATTCGCATTTTCCACAAATTTCCAGAGGCTAAGGCAACTGATCTGGGGGCTGCACTCTGAGACCCACCACTCCGGAGCCTCTCAGCAGAGACACATCCCAACTCCCAGAAGCTGTCCTGTCCACCTCCCTTTTCTGATGCGCGGCAGCCCAGAAACTGTCGCTCCATAAAAGCACTTGAAATGCTTGTGAAAGGCTGTGTGTGTGTGTGTGTGTGTGTGTGTGTGTGTGTGTGTGTGTGTATGCATGAACTTATCTGCCAATTCAATCAGGCCAACGAGGAGTCAGTTTGTCAGGGGAGCAGGCTCTGCTCGCTCCATCTGAGCTACTACCCATGGCCATGAGTCAATTCTGGAGGCTCTTGCTCCTTTTGCACCCACCACCCTCTTCTTTGAGGGTCACTGTCACTGTCACTGTCCTCCCGTTGTTCGTTGATTTGCTCAAGTGGGCCCAGTAACGTCTCCACTGTGACACTTGTTACTGTGTTTGGCATATCAAATACATCATGGGTAGCTTGCTAGAGCTTCCTAAAGTGTATGCGTGTGTGTGTGTGTGTGTGTGTGTGAGTGCGAGAGAGAGAGAGAGAGAGAGAGAGAGAGAGAGAGAGAGAGAGAGATGGACAGACATGCATGCACATGCACACACAAGCCAAGCTCTGGAGTTCTGGGATTGATCCCTGTCTCTCCATCTCCTGGTCCTTCCCTCTCTCACCATCCCCCACCGCAGGAGAAGGATGGCCACTCACCAGAACAGAGAGGGTCACGGGCCCTCGAATGACCCACCAGATGGCCTCATTGGACTTGATGTCCCAGCACCTAAGCAGTGAGGAAGAGAGGGGAGTGAGGTATATCAGGGATGGGGAAGTGGGCCACCCAGAAAGGCCAGCGCCTGGGCATGACCCCCCTTCCTGCCCCCAAACCAGTCCTGTGCTCCTGCAGCTGTGTGGTCAATACCCTGACTGTGGTGCTTCTTGCCGTCTGAGCCTGTGCCTGTGCCTCCACGCACATCCAGGCGACATGATCATGCCTGGGACCCAAGAGATGGGAGGGTTGAGATTCCCGGGTGAACCCGAGGTCCAAATTCACTGTGGAGCAGGGAGAGCCGCCCTCCCCACAGAGCCCTATCAAGGACCCCTGGGTGACTGACAGGTGACCTTAAGGGATGTCAGGCGTGAGGGGCACTTGGCAAGCTGGGAAGCATGTGCCTGGGCAGAGGCTGTCTCAGTTGATTTTCTGCCACAAGGGCAAATGGGAGATGGAGATGGAACTTTCCATTCTTTCTAGGGACGCTGGAAACTCCAGATTTAAAAATAAAGAGCAAATTCACCTGTTGTTTCTAAGTGATGCTGAAACAATCATTTCAGGTATAGTCTGGACCACAGACAAGAGCTTGATCTGACCTTACAGCGTCTGCAGTCGTGGAGCTGCCGAGAACCTCGCAGCTTCCCCCTTCTTCCAGAGAGGCCCCCCACCCATCTCCCCCCAGGACCCCTCCTCCCCGTGTTGTTCCAACTCTCCGCTCCAGCACAGAGCCTCCTGTCCTTAGAGAACAAGAGTAGGGCTGGGTTGGGTCCCTTCAGAGCTGTTCTAGGCTCCGCCACCCCCAGTGGGTGGGAACATTTGGGGAAGAGGAAGGTCCCAGGGCAAAGGGAAATCTGGGGTGGGAGTGCAGGGCATGGGGCAGGGGGCAGGGGGGCTCCCCGGGGGCAGCAGGGTGGAGCCAGCCCAGCTGCAAACTCCTGTCCTGAGCAAATCTGACAGATCCAGCAGGCCGTCCCACAATGAGGACGAGACCCTGGCAAGGGATTCTCTCCCCAGTAGCTTACCCAGTGTCCTCCCAAAACTTCCTGGTGATGGCCCACAAAGCAACAAAGACAGCCGGGGAACCTGGGGGTCAAAATAAAGGGAGGGGCAGGGGAGAGATCTTAGAGGTTTGCTTAGACAGTTCGGTGCTTGCTTCTTACTGGATTCCATGCCTCTGTGAGTTTCAAGAGAAAAGGCATGGTGGGCTGTGCGGGACTCGAGCGTTCGGTGGCTGAGAGCCACCTCCCCAGGCCGGACAAAGGCAGCGACAGACGGACGAATGGAGAAACTGGGAAACTGGGTCCCAGTCTAGTCAGTAGATAGTTTATTTCTCTCTCTTCCCCAGCATAGTCCAATCTCTCCCCTTACCGGGAGATCATAGTTGTTTTGGTCGTAGTCTGAGTCATCATAGTCTCCTAGTGGACCTCAAAGTCCTCTACCTCGTTACATTTTCTTCCTCGTCTCGTCATAGTCTCATCGTCCTCTACTTCCAGTGATCGTCGTCATCTGGTCCTCCTCGTTCCAAAGTCCCAAGTCTCAGTTCTCATTCTCCCCTCTTTCCCCTTACAGCATACCTATATAGGAATCATGAAGGGTCGGGGTACACATAGGTGGGGTTGAGATTCCTTTAGGAGATTAACTCAAGGACAACATCTCATCTGACGGTTCGGCACTCCAGATTACTAGAAGATCTGCTCAAGGGCAGGATTCCATTAGGGCGTGTTGCTTTCTCCTTTCCTCAGCTAGTAATCCATTTAAACAATCATTGTAAATTTACTTCTTATAATATTTCTAGTCATTTTGTATGAACACAGTAAGACATATATTAAGCTTAAAGGCTGGCTCTTCCTGGGGACATCTCGCTATATACCCCAGACCACAGTCCTCAGGCCAGGTTGGTCTTTCCTAACCCCAGCAGGGTCCTTATTCAGTTACTTCTCTTTGGGTCATGACAGAGTTTGTCCGTGACTCTGCTCTTAACTTATACTTACGGTGCTTAGCTTATCTCCTTCTGATGACAGGGTAGCTCCCAGCTTGCTCTGGGTCCATCCAGTCCCTTTCTCAGGACCCTGCTTTTGGAGTGCTAGGAACTAAAGGCACCTGAGGCTTAAGTCAAGTAAATATGGATGCCTGGAGTAAATATTATTTTAGAGTCAATTAACTCCCATGTTACAAAGCATACATCAACTGTCTTCCTGTGTCTATATAAAAAGGACATTGCTAAACCATGCAAGTGACATAAAGGAAAGAGGAAAGCAATATAGGATTATTAGTGCTTGCTTGAATTGGGTGTGCCTCAGGGGCACTGTTGTGGGAGTAACTCAAAAAACCTAAGCTCTTTGCGGGAGGAGCAAGGACAACCCAATGTTACCCAACACTCCTGTTTCTCTTTTTTGTGTTGTTTGTTGTGTGTCACTGCAGTGCCAGGGTTGGAACCCAGGTCTCCTGCATGCAAGCTGGCAGCCTGCCTATGGTGGCTGATGTTGTTGAGATGACTCGGGGGGAGGGGGGTCGCACACACCCCCTTCCACTGCACTGCTTGCATGTGCCCTCCTTGGGGCTCACGCTCTTTGGTGAGGCCCTGAGTCCTGGCTGTGATGCTCACTGGGGTTCAAACATGTGCTCACTAGAGCCACACTTCCTGGCCATGGGGCACTCATGTCGGGGAGGGCTTGGGCCACAGCCAGTGGCACTCCAGGCTTACTCCTGGCTCTGTGCTCAGGGGAATGTTCTGGGAGGGTCCAGTGCTGATGAATCAGGGTCAGCTGTGTGCGAGATAAATGCCTTAAAACGCATTGACAGGGCTGGAGCGATAATACAGTGCATAGGGCCTTTGCCTTGCATGCGGCTGACCCGAGTTCAATCCCCAGCATCCCACATGGTCCCTCGAGCACCACCAGGAGTAATTCCTGAGTGCAGAGCCAGGAGTAACTCCTGTGCATAGCCGGGTGTGACCCCGAAATAAAGAAAACACATACACACACATTGACAGGTGTGTGGGCTGCCAGTGGTTGGCACTTGAGTATGGTTTAATTAATACAAATTGCAGCACTGGCATCAATATGTTAACATTTGGACTATCTCCCCCACAACCCCCAACATTTTCTCAGTGTGGTGCTCTTAGGGATCACACCCTTTGTGTGTGTGTGTGTGTGTGTGTGTGTGTGTGTGTGTGTGCTTACGCACAGCTGGCTGTGAGGTCAGAAATTGCTGCAGGATGGCCAGGATCACACCCTGGAGCCTGGACCACGTGACTGTGTGTTGGTGAGGCAGGCACCCTAAGCCCCTGTGCTACACCCGCAGACCAGAGCCCTGACCTCTGAGCGCATGCACGGGAAAAGGACAGTCAATGACCTGCTCGGGTAAAGGAGGGCTTGGTTTCCATGGCGCCGCCCTTGTCATCCTGCATCAAAGGGAACCAGACCTAGGGTTGCCAGGGAGGCCCTGGAGACCAAGATGGGATCCAACAGGGCCCAGATATCACTACGGCCTGAAGTCTCCTGGGACTTGGGGGAGAACCGTGGCAGAAAAGAGCCTGGGACCCAGGGCAGGCCCATGGAGCCTGTTGGGGCAGTGGGGTACCCCCTAATAAGACATGTCTGACAAATATGGGAGGGTGGGACAGCTACGGAAGAAGCATCAATTGTCACTCAACTCTTGAGTTGTATAAAGCTTGGCCACTCAACAGGTAATAGCCGTGTTGAATTTAAGTAAAAAGACATTTTAGATGGTAGATGGAAAGTACACAGAAATCATAACGATAAAAAACCAGAACATTTCCTGTCCCCAGTTAAACATGACAAACTGAACTAATACACTTATTTGTGTCCCCCCCCCCTCCAATTTCTCCCAGAAAATACAAAGAAATAAAAATGAGAGGAAAGGTGCTGGAGAGAGAGCCAACAGGCTGGAGCAGATGCTTTGCACACAGGAGGTCCATGTCTGCGTCACTGTACTTCATGCTCCCCTATGCACTGCAAGAAGTGACCCACAAACACTAACAGGGAGTTCCTCCTGGACACCGTTGGGTGTGCCCCCAAAACATAAAGAAGGGCCAAGGAGGTGACTCAGTGGCAAAGTACAGGCCTTGCGTGTAGGAGCCCTGGGTTTGATGTCAGGTAGTGCTAAACAAAGGAAAAGTGAGGAAAGAACAAAATTGAGGGCTATGGATAGAGTTCAGCGGTAAAGCGCATGCTTCACACTTATGAGGCCTGGGTTCCATCCCCAGAATTGCGTGTGAGAGAAATGGTACGAGCCCAAAGGCACACAGATGGGAAGAGAGAGAAAGTGAAGGAGAGATGCCAAAGTGTAGGAAGCCGAAAGGTGGATAGGAGGAGGAGATGTTCCAAAGAGGAGAAAATGGAAACGCAGATGGAGGGGGCACAGGTGCTGCTGGGAAAGTACCTGAGGGGCTCAGGGGTTGGAAGCACCAGGGACCCCAGGGGCAAGAGACAGGATGGGGCCGGAACACGGGATGTTTTGGAAGTCTGGTTGAAAGCATCCTCTCCAGGTGCCCCTGGCCATCTGGCTAGCTGTCCATCATTCCTGACAGAGGCTTATTTTCTGGAGAAGGGGAGCCAAGGAGAACTCTGGTCCAGAGCAGAGGTGAAGAGGGTTCTTGATTGCACGTGGGGATAAACCGAGCATCTAACTCTGTGCCACCCAGGACCGTAGCCACTTGCTACAGGTGGCTGTTAAATATTTGATATGCAGCTGGTTCCAAAGGGCAGTTGGGGGCCCACCAGGAATAATTTCTGAGTGCAGAGCCAGGAGTAACTCCTGTGAATCACTAGGGGTGACAAATGCCCCCCCCACCACCAAAAAAAAGTGGGGGGAGAAGCGGCAAAAGACAGTCACTGTAAGGTTAGGTAGACACCAGATTTTGTAGAAATGAAAGAACGTAAAAACGTCACCAACAATTTTATATAAATTGTGAACTGAAATTGATGTAGACAGGTAGATTAGGGAAGGCCCCCCCCCCCCCCCCCCCCCCACATCATGGCAATGAAATTTCTGGGAAGCAATAAAGCCACCAGAAATAAGTCTGACCTTCCTTGTGGATACAGAAAGCAAGACCTGATAAGATCTCCAGCAGCCATCCCAGAGGAAACTGGACTCCTCCTGCAGAAAGGGCCTGAAGGAAATTACCGGAGAACCCTCAATTCCTTCCTTTAATCTCATTGACCCTCAGCTAGCCCGACCAGAGAAGGCCGGACCCATCATCCTAGAGAAGATCCAGCAGGAACAAAGGTCAAGAAAATAAGTTTTAAAGATGACAATCCCAACTCTACCCCTAAAAACAACTCTAGCAACAAACTCTTACCTAAGCAGAAAGCCTTCCATAGGGACAGATTGGAGAAGCCCTATAAAAGTCTCCAGAACAAAGGGAGAGTGCACATGTACGACCATGTGCTGCTTGTATCCCCGTGGCCGAGCACATGTAGCACCCTCATCTTCTCTCTTTTTTATTTTATTTTATTTTTTGCTTTTTGGGTCACACCCGGCGATGCTCAGGGATGCTCAGGGGTTATGCCTGGCTCTGCACTCAGGAATTACTCCTGGCAGTGCTCAGGGGACCACCTGGGACGCTGGAAATTGAACCTGGTTTGGCCACATGCAAGGCAAATGCCCTACCCGCTGTGCTATCGCTCCAGCTTCTCATCTCTCCTCTTGAGATCTGTATTTCATATCCAACGCTAGGCAGGGGGTGGGAGTGGGGGTTCTCTCCACCTTTGGAAAAGTCCGGATTCTCTCTTGAGTGAGTTACTCTCTGATTTTCTCTCACTCCTTCCCCTTCCTTAAAACCTCCAAATAAAATCTGTTTTTTTTTCTTTTGTGTCACACCCAGCAATGCACAGGGGTTACTCCTGGTTACTCCTAGCTCTGCATTCAGGAATTAATCCTGGCAGTGTTCGGAAGACCATATGGGATGCTGGGAATCGAACCTGGGTCGGTCACGAGCAAGGGAAATGTACTACCCACTGTGCTATCACTCTAGCTCCTCATCTTCCCTCTTGAGATGTGTATGTCATGCTTCCATATCTAATGCTGGGTAAGTGGGGTGGGGGGGGGGCGTATAGGGG